CTGAATGAAATGAAGATGAGTGCTTAAGCAAACAGTCATAAATTAATTTATAATGAAACATGACAGTCATAATTTAATTTAGAATGTATTTAAGATTGTTGTTACTATTCGTATAGGTCTTTTTTGCCTGGAGGAAGACGTGGCTTCATAGTGAAATGTCAGCTATCGAAATACCAAACTTCTTAAGCGTACATGTGTTTTAATTAATTAAAATAATGTAGCTACTTTCCTAATGAAGATCTGTTGTCTACTGCAAATGGTTAGACAAAAGACTGCATGATTGAGGAACATTCGGTATCAGTGGGTCACCAAGAACTGACCAGGAAGCATGAGGGACACAGAGTATAACCTGTAAAATCTGTGCAGTCATGAGGCTGCCACTCAGCTTCCTCCACAGTGGCGAGGACAGGGGACGTAACAATGAGAGCCAGCAGTAGGTGCTTTTGTACTCCTCATCTGCTCTCCAAAGCTCTTGGCTGCCCAGGTACAGCAGCGCGGCTGCCTAGGCACAGTACCACATCCTTAAAGTACCTGTTAGGCACATGCCTGGTTTTGCTGATGTAGAGCTGAGCACATCTGAGATGTAGCTGAGGCACCTATCATCTGAATTGCCCTCTCTGCATCGCTTGCTGCCATAAAAGTGTATGCCTACATCACTGACTGTATGCCTAACCTTAGCCTCTCAGGTTAGGAGGCACCACGCAATCTCTACCTACACCCCTGCTGCACTGCTGGCTTTAGTATCCAGATGATCAAGAACTAGGCAGAGGTTAAACTCCTCATGTTTGCAACCCTGTCAACAGCAGTATGCTGCCCTGTCTGCTGCGCTGGGTCCATGTCCAGCACCCTGCTGATGCCAGCAGAGCAGGAAGTGGTGAAGGGCAGGACTGGCTCTTCGAGCACAGGCACTCTAACAAACACATTCTATGGTATGTACTCTTTTCAGCACCCTGCTGATGCCAGCAGAGCAGGAAGAGGTGAAGGGCAGGACTGGCTCTCCAAGCACAGGCACTCTAACAAACAAATTCTGTGGTATGTACTCTTTCTAAGAGAGATATGTAAAGTAAGAGTTTGTTTTTCACTAGATTTCTTCTAAATCTTTTGATGTTTCTGGCCAATTAATATGAATATGTATCTTAAGACAAAGATTTCTACCTTATGGAATTTTATTTTGATATTGCACAGGTTCTTCTTTGTAACTATTTCTAAGCCCTTAATGAATCTTTTGCCTGTACTGACTCTGACAATGAAACTGTATGGGTTAAAGTATTTCTCCAAGTTTTTCACTTCTGTCAAATTTGCCTAATAAAATGGTATAGGAGTGGTTTAATGCATTAGATTATTTCTCTGTTTCTAAACCCATCAGTCTCAAAAAGAAGTAACTCTGTTCAGTTTGTTAACTGAGAGATGGTACGGTAGGACGTTATGGATGGTCAGCGTGTGACCAAATAAACCTTAGTAGTTTGTCTTGACATCAGTTAAGAAACCATGATCCCAACAACTTGGGATTTCTATTTGGAAAGGAATGTTTAAGAAAGAAAGAAAATAATAATTACAGGCCTTGAAGCATGGTATCTATGCTAAAAATAGGTATTTATGAAGAGGAAAATAAAAAATAAAGCCCTTCTGTTACAATTAGTTTAATAGGGAAGGGCAATGGATGCATTTGCCATAAACTGTCAAAATTAATGTGTTTCACACTGATAAGCAAACAGGTTCTTTGATTATGGTTAAGCAGCACATAGGAAGTACTTGGCTATGTAAGTGACAGTAATTGGGCAAAAAGTAGTTTGTATCTTCCGCCAACTGGAAAGTTTGCAAAGGGTCCTTTCCACACCTCTCATGGTGATAGAATTCTCCTTGTCATACATTAAGATCTTCTTTTCAAGTCAGGATACAAGGATGGTTAGACGCTTGTGTTAAAAGATGAGCCAGTCTATTCTTACCCTGCGCTCATGGGGGGACCAGTGGTAGCATTTTAGGTGGGCAGCTCTAGGGCCTTTCTGTGCTGGGTGCTGAGAAAATCAGCATCACCTGAAGGGCAGTAAGCTGGATTTAAACTTTGTGTATGCTCAAGGACACATAGCAGCAAGCATTCAGGATGTATCATTTTGCATGCTCAGCTTTGGTAGCCATAACATGCTTAGCCTGTATTTCATGTTATGTATCTACTATTTATCCCAATTTCAAACCTGATTAAAAGTTAGTCCTTTTGCACCAGAAAATGAAACCTTCCTTAAAAAATACTCTCTGGCACCCACAACAGTTCCCTCCTTTCCAGTTAGCTCATCTTCTCAAATCAGGAGTGTAATTAACCATGTTATCCTTGAAAAGAAAAACTATCCTTGTTCCTTTACAGAATTATTTCTAGAGAAAAACCCTGGGGAGGGAAGGGTTGATAAGCTAAACACTATCCTAGCAAAAGCCTAATTTTTATCTTTCTCAATAAGATCCGACATCCTTGTGTATCAGTACCTTAAAAGCCAGTTTGAACTCTCATATTTAATACTGATAGTAGAACCCTTTTTTTCATTTTCACTTTCCTGGCTAATACTGCATCTGGCAAGTTACGGTTTCAATTTTCCTCGAACACCACAAATAGAAGCAGATCCCTCAGATACTCAGATCAAACTACATTCTTAGGATAAAATTTTGACAACCGCCACACGTTCATCTGTCACATGGACATGCAGATCTTGTTTGTATTATAAACCATCTGAACACTGCCAGCAGAGGCTTGACAACCCAACGTGGAGTCTTGCTGTTTCACATTATATTATCATCAAAAGAAGTGTGACCAGCAGGTCAAAGGAGGTGATTCTGCCCTCCTACTCTGTTCTTGTGAGACCTCACTTGGAGCATTGTGTACAGTTCTGGTGTCCTCAACATAAGCAGGACATGGAGCTGCTGGAGCAAGTCCAGAGGAGGCCACGAGGATGATCAGGGGACTCAAGCATCTCCCATACAAAGAGACTAAGAAAATTTGGGCTGTTCAGCCTGGAGAAGAGAAGCTACGTGGAGACCTTATAGCAGCCTTCCAATATCTGAAGAGGGCCTACAAGGATGCTGAAGAGGGACTCTTCATCAGGGATTGTAGCAACAGGACAAGGGGTAATGGGTTTAAACTTAACCAGGGGAAGTTCAGGTTGGATATAAGGAAGAAGTTCTTCACAGTGAGGGTGGTGAGGCACTGGAATGGGTTGCCCAAGGAAGCTGTGGCTGCCCTATCCCTGGCAGTGTATAAAGCCAGGCTGGATGGGGCCTTGAGCAACCTGGTCTACTGTGAGGTGTCCCTGCCCGTGGCAGGGGGGTTGGAACTAGATGATCTTAAGGTCCTTTCCAACCCAAACCGTTCTATGGTTCTATAATGAAGTTCTTTGAAAAGCCAGAACCATGCTTTTTGGGTTAATTTTCAGTCAGATCAATAAACTGATCCAACTCATTGTGTATTGCACGGCTGAAGGACAGGGAGCTACAGAGCAGACTGTAAGTAATGTCACCAGCTCCATTTTCGGTGGACTTGGGGATTTGACTTCCTAATCAACTAACTAGCACCAAGAGTGGTGGTTAATATAAAAGCGAGTTTCCTAGTTTGAAAACCAGTATAGCTGAGTATTTCAGGACTCCACTGCAGCTGGTTGTGTATAGAACCAGTTCCTCCAACACGGATTTCTAGTTTAAATGGATTAAAGGAAGCATTTTGTCACCACTACAGGTAGAAAATTGAGGCATGGAATAACTGGGTAAATTACCAAGAAAGGGTGTTCAGGGAAAGATCATACAGAATTCCCATTTCACTCCCTTTTACCAGCTTCTGTAATACAGTATTTTCCAGAACAGACTAGAAAAACGTAAAAAAAGTTTAATGATGATTTACAAATATACAGTACTTACATTTTTAGCAGTTACAAAAATGGCACATACTACAGAAACCAAAAGCTTCCTCTAACCTTTGGTACATTTCAAAGTTATTTATTTACAAAGAAAAATTACAGTCACTTTTCAGTGTCACATGTTTACATATAAGCATTTCTCAGTTGAAAAATATCTTGCAGCTTACCCACAGGCAGTTTTTGCAGTTTGAGCTCTGCACCCATCTATCACATCAAAAATTCTATCAGCCCCTGTTAAGCTGACATGACATTGCATTTTTATGTTTTAACAGCCTTTAGTTTGAAAAATATGTACAACCCATAAGGCTAAACTGATTCATAGCTGTTGAGATTTCATCTGATGTATTATATATTGCTCACGGTTTGGTAAAATGACATAGGCTACCTTTTCTAATTGGCTCGGTAACAGACGTTTAGAAAGAGGTGATCCAGTTTTGGTAGCTGGAGTATTCCTAACTCTTCATGAAGGGAATTAAAAAAAAAAAAGGTAAAACATAATTTTCTCGATGCCTTTTCACATTAGGAAACCTTTCTATTAAATTCTTCCTTCGCTATGTACAATCCTTAGCTAAGGTAACAGAGACAAACTGAGCACACTTTTCAAATCCTGTTCATTTCCATTAGTTTTCCAATGTTAGATGTTTTCTAGATTGTACTTTCTTTAAACAAGAACTTAAAAACTTTCTTCTATCCGAGAGCAAACGTCGTCTTAGTCTGAGTGTAAAGGAGAGTCTTAGAAATTAAAATACTTGCAATAAGAGAAATACAGCCAAAACACAATCTGGTTTTGACATCTACTTAGGTGTGTATACAAATGCTTTCATGCTCTGGTGATTTTCAGACTATACAATTTCAACACATAACAGTATGTGAACGCAGCACAATCTTCACTGTGCTGAAGGTAGTTTGGGACTACACGTTTACAACTGGTAGTTTTTAATTAAGACTAAATACCACCAGAGTATTAGTGCAAGTCAAGATTGTTTTAAGTAGAGAAACAGAAAAAGTTTGCTGTCACTAGCTGTGAACAGGATTTAAAAAGTGTCTTCCAGCATGACAGTATTTCCCTCCCCAAAACTTACTCCATAGACAAAATAAACTCCAAATTCAGGCATCTTTAACGTATGCCTGCATTCTGGATTTTCTTCGTGCAAGAGCTTCCTGCTTTTTTCTTTCAATCTCCTCTTGAGAACATTTTCTATTTTTTTGTTCCACCACAGACACTGTAAGTAAAAAACATGTATTAGGAGCCTTCAAGGTTCTTCAATATGTATTTTAACTTATCTGTTTTCAATGTTTGAAGATCTATGGCAAGAGCACACTATTCTGACATGCCAGGCACCCAAGTTAAAAATGGCTCATCCATCCTGTCCCCAAGGCAGGAAGGGGGGATAAGATGCATGACCTTTGTAGTGCTACCGATTACTACCTCCCAATGAAAATCCTGGGATGCAGACATTTGCTTCAAGGAAATTTTACTTGGCTGCCCTTCAGGTGAACCTTGTGACATCAGGAGTCAACACAGGAGATGGCGATGGGTTAAGAACATTAAGGCTATCAGAGTGAAAAGGGCTCTACAATTTAGTGAGTTAGGCAGAGATATGGGCATGGAGATGGTATAGACACAGGGGTCAGATACAGTACAGGTGTCACACAAATAAAGCCAGAAAGGTTGAAAAAAGGTCAAAAGTAGCAATAAAAATTGGCAAAGGAGACAGGAACATGATAGCTAGCCATAGTATTTTATATGTTGTGATACACAACTATAAATTCCCATACAATAAAATCCTGACCTCAGTGCAACCAACAGGAACACTCCCTGCACATATCAAGAATTTTACTGGTTTTATACACCAATTTCCAATTAATGTATTTTTAATAAGTAGTCTTTCAAAGTGAATAAATAAAACAAAGGGTCTATTTGCTTCTTAGAAAAAGAGATGCCCATGAAAAATTACGTATCAGTTTTTGAAAGCATTACTTAACATCAATGTTTTTGTTTCACCAAAAATTGAAGATAAGAACAGTTACTGTTTATCTGTAAAGAAAATCTATACTATTCTTCGTCATTCCTTTATTCTCTGGAACATTCTGGAGAATGACGAGTTATCTCTCCCCTCCCTTCCCCCTTAGCATCCGAAATGGCTACTTTCCATTTATGTGCTTCTTTGCTGGGGAAGTAACACACATAAAATACTGATTCTTCAAAAAATGCTGGCTGATTTTTTGCAGGAATTAATTTTTTTGTTGTTTTTGTAACAGTGCTTCCTGAAAATCGAGGTTGATATAGTACACCAAAAAGCACGTCTTATCAAAATTACTACTGATTAAAACTTCACCAAGCCTTGAGATAAGTAAAAACAGGACTGACTGGCACTTGACTGGTTCTGCATTTCCATAGCAAGTAACAGCAGTGCACGGAGTATTACAGACTGTCGCTTGATGATGGAAAAGTGACTGACCTCCCCTCTAGGTGAAAGAAAATGTTAGTGTTTAGACTGGTAACACAAGAATATTTCACTGGCAATTTTAGCCACAGAGCAAACAACAATACAGGCTGAGGTTTCAGAACCACTGAATGATTTGAGGTTCCAGTTTCCAGGTGTACAACAGTAAAAAGAAATTGGCATCCTGCATCACCTGCTACGTTCCTCCCCTGCCCCACCATTAACTGGGGTTTTACGAATCACAACTGAGGTAAGTAACAACTAATGTTTGTCAAATTGAGCTATAAATTAAAGCACAGATTCACACTACAATATTTAATACCTATCAAAATAGTAGTGTTTTTAAATACCAATTTAAGAATATGGTAAGCTGAGTGCTGCCATCAGCCTATACTTGATCCTAGTGATTCTGAGTGTTACTGGAGAGAGAAGTGGAATGAAAATGGGAAACAAAAGTCTTTTAATCTAGGAATTCAAGAGATGCATCAGCACAATTTTATTTTGGAGAAAATAATCTCCAGATTTTCATTAGAACATTTACTAACACCTAAACTGAATACTGATGCCTATTCTAAATTGCAATACAGCATAAATTTTTCTGGCATTCGGATTACAGTACGAAAACAAGCAAAACCAGTACAACAAGGACAAAATAGGGACCAATACCTGATGTTGGCAGTGCTGAAGACTCTGAAAGGTGCCTCTTGAAAGGTGATTTCTTACTGTCAAGCTTGCTGTGCAAAGTCACATTCACCTGATTCTTGCTTCCTTCCAAACCCTGCAGAGTAATTCCAATGCCAGAATGACACCCTGGATTTTCAGACCCTACATGAAGAGCACCCTGAAAATTGTTAGTCTTTCGGAACTTAAACTTTGAAGGCATAAGTGATGTTTTGTTACTAGAACTATTATTGGGCATCTTCCCCATATTATACAAAAGATCTGGGCTGTCTAGTGTTTTGCTACCAAAAATGTTTACTGCATTAACAGGACTTACTTCAGAACCAGTCTCTCCTGCCAGCACAGAATTTGACCTGTACCATTTTCCTGCAACAGTCTTTGTAGCATCTTCAGAAGCAGCCTGATGACAGCTTTTAGACAGTGTGTATTTACATTCCGTGGAAGTACCCAAGACCACAGTTTGAGGACTTGAGACATTTTTACAATTCACTATGTGACCTGTTGTGGCCAGCCCATGTGGAACCTTTGACAAATTCCTACAGGAGTCGTTTAGTGAGAAAGCATCCCGTTTTGCATTTGGTTTTTGTGCCAAGAGATCAGGTAGTCCTTGTTTAGATGCTGGGAAGCTGTTATCAATATTTGATCTGGAATTAATACTGGATCCTTGTATAGGTTTAGCTCTTTCATTTCCTTGTTTAACATCTTGGCTCTGAGTCTGCTTTTCTATATCATCACACACCTGATACAGCAATTCATCATCCGCACAGTTTGCATCCCAAAGACTACTGGATTCACAAAACATATCTAGTATCTCATCAGAGAATTTTGGTTCATTCCAGTCATCAAATGATATAGGACACTTCTTTGGTATTTCAACTTGATTTAAGTGACCTGCATTAGCTTGGTTAACCACTTTAGCTAGATCCTTAGGTTTCGTATTTGTAGAAACACTGGATGATTCACAGAAAATACTGTGTGTGTTATTCCCAGGTTTTCCAGACCATTGTGTGTAAGGATTACATCTTGAAGGAAAAACAGGAAGAGGGGAACTTTTAGGCTGGATAGTTTCATTTCCATTCTTCACTTCAGATCGCAATGAAACAGGAATATAGTTCAAACCACTATTTTGGACATTTTTCCAAGCAGGATTTATTTTATCTGGTTTAATGTCACTTTTGCCATGAAAGGGTATGGTCTCTGTCTTCGAGTTTTGTGTTTTATATGGCTTTTGTAAAGGAAGAGATTTTACAGCATTTTGTGTGTTTTTACTAGGATGTTTCAAAGGTGAAAACTGCAAACTGTTAGACTTGTGTACACTCCCCAAGCAAGTATCTGAACTGCAGCTACTTCTTCCGTTAGTTCTGCCAGCATCACTGAAACCACTCACAGATGGATTTATAGGAATTGGTGGTGCTTCTTCAGTACTAATCAATTCAGGATTTTGGGTTATTTGCATCACAAAAGAGTCATCTGCCAAAAAGTCTGTATCCCAGTCATCAAAGTCATTAACTGCTCCATCAAGCTTACTGGAAACCCCCAACTGAGGCTTCAAAGAAGGATTTTTTTTGGTCAGTGTGTGAGTATCAGATTTTGGAAGAGTCTGGTTCACGCTTCCCAATGCACATGGAGTATTTTTTCTAATTTGCTCAGGAAGGCGTTCCTCCTCCAAGGTGCTTTTATTTTCATGGAAACTATTATTTAAAGAAATATCTGATAGTCCTTGGCTCAATTGTCCACTACACTTCTGGGTAGAGCAGTCAAAAAGAGCATGAAGGGCTACTTCAGCCTCAAGGTCTACAGATTTCTGACTGCTAGACTGACAGGGCTCTGCAGCAGGGATGCCGGTGCTCTGTCCAACTGGTTTCAGGGACAGAGCAGTATCTGCTTCAGAAACTTCACCGAGGAGTGATTTCAGGTTCTTCCTATTTACTTCATCTTTTAAAGACTCTGAGGCAGTCTGGATGACGTCATGACCAAGCTTCTCTTGTTCCTGAACAGCATCTAGCTCTACTAGGTTTTTATCAAATTCCTTCGCCAATTTCATGAGTTCCTCTTCAGGATTTTTAATTTTAAGATCTCTAGATTAAAAAACAAAACAAAACAAAATAGAAAGTCAGCCCTTCTGAAAAGGTTTAATGAAGCTCAACAGAATGACTGTATAAGCTGTTTATTCCCTAGTTTTAACAACTACGAAGAGTATGACTGAATCCCACCACTTTCAATGCACTGTTAACATGCAATCTTTCTGATAATTCCCAAGAAATACCCATTAAGAAGAGACAGCAAGCCCAAAGTTAAAAACATCATGTACACTAATGTACAATTACATGGTTCACTGTGCGTAAGGGAACACCACATACCCTTTTTTTAATGAAAGCCCAGCTGTGATGGGCAAGACAAAATTGTAACTTACCTTGTACAACTTAACTTTGTCCTAGCTCGCACTTTTACTACTCCAGGTGTACAAGGAATAGCATCCTCACCAATCCATGTCCCTAAAAGGGAGCCTTCATTACAGGCTGCTTTTTCATCCTGAATGATTAGATTTGTAATGTTTAGCAATTTGATTTCAGATAAAGATTGAACTAGACACACACCCTGCATTAGTGAAAGTTACTGCATCAATTAAACTGGATCAAATCTGTTGAAAGCCACAGATAAGAGCTAAACCAGTACAAGTTCGGTAAAGACAGGAACCTCAATTAAAATAACTGAAATTTACTTTGATGCTCAAATCTATACTCCATTTACTTCAGGATTACACATAATCTGCAATATTCATGTTACGAGCTGTGATCTAGTTTACTTTAGTATACTCCTAGGGAGCTGGTTCAGATACATGGTCTTTATCCACTTAAAGCAGCATTAACAGATCAGAGAATTTGAAAGAAATCATATTCTGTATGCTTCCAGGAAAAAAAGATCCTGACTTCTTCCATTACAACTCATTTATACAAGAAGCCTTTATACAGAAATAAATTAAGCTTAGAAATTAAATGAAGTTGTTTCACAGCTTCAAAGTTGAGCATTGGATTTGAATTCTCAAACCTAAAGAGATACAATATCGCAGAGTTAAATTGTCTAGAGGGCCAGAGCCATGGGATGTAGGAAATTACTGCATATAAGCAGGCAAAACTAATTTGAACTTTACTAACTACCAGGGTAGTTTGGGGTAGGTTTTCTTTTTATATTTTTTTTTTAATTGTTATTATTTTAAGAAAAAAGAACAAACAACAGATAGTTGCAAACACTGGTATTATTTAAGACAGGGCTGTAATCATGTAAAAGGAAGGAAGTAGCATCCCTTACCAGTGATTTTCTAATTCTTAAGTATAATTTCTCACAAATACGCCAAACAGTGAATAAATTTGAAATGGCCCTGTCAAATAGGAATATTCTGCAAGCTAAATAACTGCTTTAGGAATGACATGTTCTCTTCTTGCACTTAAAAAGCAAAGAATAACGCAATACTCTTATTTTCACTTTCCAGGCTGTGGACATCAGGTTCACAGCAAAAGGGAGACAACAAGAACATAGATTTAAGGTAAAAAGGCAAATTTCATAGAATAACGAAGCAATGTTACTATATTTATATTATTGTGAAGTCTCTGTCTCAGCTGAGTCTTATATTCTTGTACTTCAGCATTTAAGCCCATTCAAAACTCTTAAAAACAACTGTCAAGTAAGCAGTATGTGAAGAAACTTTACCTTTTAATGGATGAGCAATTAAGGATAAATAAACACACTACTGTAACTAAACCCGAGCCTTCACTAAGGCTGTAGCACTGTTCTGTCTGATGACTGCATACATATTGTTTTAGGAAGTAAAAATTACCTGAGGAGCAATACGATTAACAATGTCCGAGATTTCTACTGCACATCTACTGGTAGACTGTTTGGTTTTCCCAGTGCCTATGAAAACAAACATAAAACCTTCTTAAGAACTGCAAACCAGTTCAATTTATGAAGTGCAGTATATGTCAAATAATTCAAGTATGTGTTAAAATCAGAGCTCGACTCACACTACATTGAAAGAATTACAGGTTATTTATGGATTTTTAACAAAAATAAAACCAATCAATCTACTCATGATAACAGAAAGCGACCTTTTCCCCAAGAAATTTGGTAACTTTTAGTGAACTCCCACTGCATGCCTCAAATAGGCCCATTGAATTCTGGATTTTGTTAACATTACCTAGTCTGTGTGTAATTGGTGAATGAGGATCCCAAAAGATCTCTTGCTGTACATCGGTGTCATTAACAGGAGAGCTGAAAGTAGGTATTCGGGATTTCCTACTCAATGATCTCTTTGGTGTTTTATGTAAACATGACTCTGTGTGAACAGGGAGATGATTCTCATTAAAAACAACAAATAAAAGGCCAAAATAACTTAGAACATACAACAGGAGAAGGCATAAAATGCTTTAGGAACTTAAAGTTAGGAAAATCAAGTTCACACTTAGTAACATTACTTACAACAGGAATATTGTTCACAATGATACATTTAATGTAGAGTATGACTCTTATCTGTCAGTTACATCACAACAGAGATAACAGAGCATAACAGCTCTGACAGCTATACACTCAACACCTGACATAAGGGTGAGAACTGTCAATCCTACTACTTGAGAGAATATCGATTTCAGCTTATGTGGAGAGATAAACTATGTATTCCTATATGAGAGAATCTTTTGTATTCTTGCTTGCTCTGTGTGTTTCACGCAGACTCTGATTTGGGTCACAACTTTAATGGGCCCCCAAACTGTTCTGGGTCACAACCTACCTTTGTCTAGGCTTCCCCCACTGGGCCAGTCAGCTAGGGCTGTTAAAAGCAGTTATATAGCTATTCTAAGCCAACGTGTGGCCGTCTCGTATCACTAAGTGAACTGAACACACTGTCTGAAGCTCAGCTATAGCCACCCCTGCCCTTTAGAAATGACGCTGGAAGCCTACAGAAATAACTTTAAAAGATGCAGTTGCTACGTGGAAAGCATCATCGGAGACGCTCTGCCCTTCAGCACTTAGCACGGCCACGCTTTATCCTCTCCTCGAGTGGATTAGCGTCCTCAGCCAGCTCTAAGTATCCGCCGCGGGAAGATGCTCTTCATCACTCCTTGACAAGAAGAGCCCCTTCCCCAGGCACACAGGCGGGGGAGGGCGGGGGGTTCACCGCACCGGCCCCCTCCTCACGGGCAGGGCC